GCAAATTTCACCAAGAGGGTTGGATTCTCTTCAGTAATTTAATTTGTTTTTGGTGGAAGCTACTACGATAATTTATCGTGGATAAAAATAAATTTAGTATTGTGTTCTTGTTTGTTTTATTAAAAAAATTTTAATTAAAATTATATTAAAATCATTTTTTTAGAATTTTTAATATTTAATAGAATAAATACATCAAAATAATGAAAAACGTCTTAAAAGGTATCAATTTAATTTTCTTTAAGTAACAAGTAATTTAAGAAATATTTAGAAAAATAAAAATATATATATTAAAGTAATTTTTAAGCTATTATCATGCAAGCTCTAGAATTCCTAGTCAACTATCAAATCAAACAAAGACTTGTAAGGATTACTCTTTTCACGTCATAACGTGTTGTTTATAGTTTTTACGTGTTGTTCATAGTTTTTAAATTCAAAATAAGGCTTTGAAATAAAATAAAAACGTGGAAGACTTTTCTTTCTCCGTTTGCTTGGATGTTTTTAAAAAATAATATAAATTATATTATAAAATTTAATTTAATAATTTAAAATTATTAAATTAAAATAATTTTTTAATATAATATCAAAACTTTAAAAATTAAAAAATTACGAGTTTAAATTTTATTATTTTTATTTATTACAAAAAAAAATGAGATAATATGAGTCTACATAAATTTAAAGTTCAAAAAAACTTACACTTAAAAGAGATTATATTAGAAAATAATATAAATCATATCTTAGAAGATTTCTTAACAATTTAAATTTTTAGATTAAAATGATCTTATATAAACACACACGGAAAAATTCAAAAAAAAAATTTGTTTTTCCTTTTGTTCATAATATTAAAGGTTGTTTAAGTAAAATAAATAGATAAATTTTCCATATTGATTGGGATGAAAATTTATAAATTTATCCTTTCTTTATTTTTTGTAGTTAATTACTAGCTCAAATATGAAATGATAAATTTATGATCCTACAAATATTAATTTATAAGAGTTTAAGTGTGTGTTTCATAAGTCAAAACAATATTAACATAATAGGATTTGTCATGTGTTTTTCTCTCTCCTCAAATGGGATCAAGATTTGAAAATATAATTAATATTGTAAGCAATTGAAAAAAATTTGTGCCTTTTAAAAATAATATGAATTATACTTGAGATGATTTTATCTAGCAACTGAAGTTATTGAATTTAAATAATTTTTTGATATAGTATTAAAGTTTTAATTATTAAGAGATTATGAGTTTAAGTTTTAAATTTAAAAAGTTTTCATTTAAAAAAATAATATAAATTATATATTAATATTTCATCTAATAATTTACGCTATCAAGTTTAAATAATTCTTTAACAAAAACATACAATTGTTTCACTATTCTCTTTTTCAAAAGTTTTTAAATTTTAATGTAACAAAATTAATATTTTTAAATATTTTGTTTTAAAGATTATGAAAAGTTAATAATAAAAAACATAAAAAATATTAGTTTAATATATTTTTAATTGTAACCAAGCATAAAAGTATGTTGCATGAGTTCCTTTTTTATTTAATTTTTGCAATATATACTATATATATATATATTTTTTATTCAAACGTTACAAATGTATTTGTTTAAGAGATGCCCTGCATAATACACCTCATTAAATAGTAAAAAAACATGTATTATATGATTTTCGTGAAGTTTATTCATAAACAAACACTCTTTTGAGTCCATGAATGTTTATTCATATCCACAGAGTATATATATTAACAAAGATCATTATTTTGTTAGCAGAGCAATGAAATTCATGGCTGACTCATGTCAGAACTTTCAGTTTAATTACGTAATATTGGGTCTCTCGAGTACAAAAGAGACTCCAACAGGACCACATATATTTACTTCCCCCATACCTGCACCTTATGCTACTGAGAGGTTCATGTTTTGCTTATTCAACCCGCTGGAGATCTAAGAACGAAGGAGAACGGCAAGGTTTTGGTTTCGTCCCTGTAGTCTTTAGAGAGTTCGATTCAAGCCCTTATAGTTTGTAGATATTTTATTCAATTAGGAATTAAATATTGGGGGGTTCATTATGAAACAAAAAACAAATCTTTTAGGTATGTCCAATTCAAAATAATAAAAAATTCTTTTAGGTATGTCCAATTCAAAATAATTATACCAGTTTTTTTTTTAAGACCAACTTTCCAAAATTACTAGCTAGCTTAGCTTAAATTTGAAATTAAGATGATATTAAGAAACTAAACAAATTGAAGATTCTATCATCTTATCATAGTTGTTGTTCAATCTTGCAGGGTGATGAGTCAATGTTTGGAGTTTGGTTTAAATTAAATTTTTAATCAAATTTAAAAAATATTGATGTGACTAAAATTAATCAATTTGATCAAATTTTAATGAGTTAATTAATATATTCAAGCCTAATTTAAACTTGATTGAATCAACATTAAAAACTAAAATACAAAATATTTATATTTTAATAAAATAGTCCCTCAAATTGCTTCAATGACTCATAAGCTAAACTAGTTACCCAGGTTTTTTTTTTGGGATTAATTTGTGGGTTGGCCCAATAATCATGGAGATTTTATAATTTTACTCTTTAGAAGTCATAATTGATAGGTTTAAAATACCATATAAGTCATGCCACACACGGCCAGCAGCCTAGATTTGAAGCATCACATCCATAGCTTTGCCTGAGCTCATGGCTTGCCTGAGGTCCCGTCATGTATATCAGGAATTTGGACACTTAGATCACTTGTTTGAAAATAAAATAGACAAGAAGGGTAGCAGATAGGAAATAAATTTGTATTAACAAGAATAAATTTGTATTAAATATTTAAAAAATAAATCTTCTAACCCTCGAGATTGGTAGTAATCTCATGGTATTTGAAAGGGAACTCTTCTCCACATCATTAGTAATCCCATCTCCATTAGAAGCAAACTGGCCTGCTCCTTGCTTTCCATCTCTCAGTTCTCAATTTCTTTCTTATGATCATACTTGGAAGCTTGCATTCTTGTGTTATATGCAAGGACCATGCATGCATGCATTTCCTTTATTAAAATTCATAATGTAATTGCAAATTGCTATAAATATATGCGATGTGATGCAAGTTGTAAAATTAATATATACTCTTATTTCTGTCGTGTAATGTAAAATAATTACTTCATTCTGCTATTTTTTTAATATCTTTTAATATTTATTCAATTATAAGTTAGGTTATATTTTTTTTATTTGCTCCATGTTGAATTTTTTACTAGTTTTAGAAATGATTTTGGTTATTTTAACTCTTTTCGTTTATTGTTTTTTATTGTTTTGTTTTGACAAATTCTTTAAATTGGTTTTTTTTCTTGATTCTATCATTTAATATTTTAAATATATTTTTTTTAAATAATTTATAAAATTAGTATTGATTCTATCATTCAATATTTTAAATATATATTTTTTAAATAATTTATAAAATTAGAATTTCTTTTGAATTTCATTCCCTTTAATTTTTTAAATTTAATTCTTATTCTTTTAATTGTTATTTGTTTTATTTGAGATAAAGTTTTTAAATTTTATCATCTTAAGTTTTTTTTACCAAATTTGATTCTTTTTTTTTTTTTTTATTGTTTTTTTGTTTTGACAAATTTTTTAAATTGATATTTATTTTTATTTTATCATTCGATATTAGATTGGTTGGAAATTGAATTTCTTAATTGAGTAAGTTTATGATTTCATGAATTTTAGTTTTATTCTTTAAAATTTATACAATTGGATACTAGACTAGTTACTTTTATTTACTTTATGTAGAAATTTTTATCAATTTTGAAAATGATCCAAGTTTTCTCAGTTCTTTTTATTTATTATTCTTTGTTATATTTATTTTAGTCAATTAATATTAATTTGACTGAAAATTGAATTTTTTGATTTAATTTAAGTCTATAATTGAATGAAATGTGAGTTTGAGATCTTAACATGGGTTTAAATTATTTGTTCAAGTTTATTCAGTTTATTTTTTAAAATTAATATTTTTTTAATTTCATTATTCAATATTTATATTATTAGGAATTAGACTTCATTTGTCTTTGTTTGCCTTCTATATATATATATTTTTGTGCATTTTTAAAAATGATCTGGATTTTCTTGAATTTTTTTTATTATTTTTTGTTAAATTTATTTTGATAAATTTTCTAAATTAATATTTTTTACTTGTCCTCTAATATTACATCTTTAATATTAGATTGATTTTTTATGCCCGATCTCATCAGAATTTAGTTTGCTTTATTTTTGTTTATTTTTGTTGTTTATTAATTTTCTAAATTAATATTTTTTACTTATCCTCCAATATTACATCTTTAATATTAGGTTGATTTTGTATACCCGATCTCATCAGAATTTGGTTTGCTTTATTTTTGTTTATTTTTGTTGTTATTTTTTTAATTGACCCTGTGCAAGGGATACCTTGCGTAAATTTTAGGTTTGTTACTCACAATGAAGTTTGAGCCTTGTTTAAACACAAAACCCTGAAAAGTTCCATTAATACCCATCCTGAGATCTTCAAATTTTTTGGTGGGATACCATGTAGCTAGATCAACTGGATGATGAAAATAATAGATTTGTTTATTGCATCCGATCGGGATACAACCCACTCAAATTATCATTTTCAATTGCATTATAATACATGGAAATCTCGAAGAGCATGGACTTAATTTTGATGGAGACAAGAAATTAATTGCAGTCTTTAATTACAAAGGAAAACGAAGGTGCTTTACATGTCCAATTTTTTCACCTTTTCTCTTTCACCATTGGTAAAAACTTGGAAGAACACGCCTTCTGCAGAATGAGAGGCCTGATTTTACTCTTTCCAAGGCATAATGGATGTATTATATCTTATGGAACTCTGAGCCAGTTTTTCAAGATATTGTTGGTTAATTAATGTAAATGGTATCTTAAATTTCTTTGAATCTGCTTAGAACAAGACTCACATTAAATTTTTCATGGGAATCCTGAAAACAAATGAAGAGAAAGGAAGTGCTAATTACGCGACAGAGGGAAGCCAATTCCATGGCGTTTGCTAGGGAATGCAAGAAACAAGATGCTGCAGAGGACGCCAATGGTAGCAGGCACAACAATGAGAAGGTCCTTCGCCTCATCTGTTGGCGCTGGAAAGAAGCACTTGACAACATTCTTGTCAAACAATGAAACTGCAGCAAAAACCAAGATAGACATGAAGGCATGCAAGACATCAATGAACTTCAGCTTGTATTTAGCGGCCTCTTCCGGCGAAAGTTCCACCGTTGCATCAATAATCCACAAGCCTTTGAAAGTCACCATTCCATACCGGACCTTGCCTCTTGCGTCCCTGAAGCTATCGGTGAAGCATAAGAGAAAGCAAGCTAGGCCACACACGGCTAAAAGACCTGATGTCAAAGTTTGGCTCGTAACGGAGCGACATTGGCCTTCATGTGTTAAGATTGGAGATAGAATCTGGAATGTGAGGACTGAACCCGTGGGGAGAAGCCTGGCTAAATGCGCTGTGCCTTTGAATGTCTTCCTTATGGCCTTTTGCCCTGGTGTTTTCTCTGGTTTTTGCAGTACATTTTCTAAAAAGGGTTGTGCAATTTCTGCTCCTTCTTGCACCAATACCTTAATATCCATGGCCTAAATTCACCTCCAATTTCCCTCACTCTTTCTGAATTGTTTGATCAGCACTGAGTTCCGTGGGGAATTGAGGGATTTATTGTGTTAACGAGATGGTTTTAATTCGCATGAAGACAGATAGAAACACAAAATTTTAGGAGGTGGTTTTCCAGTTTGTTGTTAGCCAGAATAATTTAGCTAGCTTATGTACAAGGTTGATGGGATAATTTCTTCTTTTTTTCAAGTATTCAAACCTTTTCATAACTGTTGTCAAAGAAGTTAAGAGAAGCAGTTACAATGAATGAGTTGGTAAAAAAATTTATTGTTGAGGGGTTTCCTTAAAATTACAACCTACTAATTTGACCACTCCTGCCCAAAGTTAATAAACCTGAATAATGTTAGGCTAGTTAATACAGAATGATCTAAATCAATTTTTTTTTTTTAAAAAAAAGTTAAAAATATAATGTTTTGAAGAATTTTTTTAAAACAGATTAACAGAGATTACAAGTTTATAGCTTAATTTGCTGGATTGATATCGGTTTAATTCTTAATTGATTTTTTTTAATTTAGTTTAGATTAAAATCAAGTTTATAGTTGGGGTTGGATTGTTTTTTATGAAATTCTCAATATTTTGTATTGAGTTAATATATTTGATTATAGAATATGATGTTGAATACTTTGTTGCTTAATGAGGTATAAACAGGTCATAAAGAAACTAATAACAATAAGAAATTAACTACCAGCTGAGAGGACAGGGTAAGAGTAGAAAGTTAATTATTTTAAAAATGAAGTTTTTTTAATCAGATTTTGAAGATAAAGATAAATCATTTGGAATTTGTAAAAGAAAATGGTGATTTTGTTTTGAAAAAAAAAAGTTTATTAAATTGAAAAATATGTTAAAAACCGAGGAATGTTTATATTTTTACTTAATATGTTTTATGTTGAAAAAAAGCTATTCTCTGAATCTCTCTCGGAGAGGTAGCACTATTCATCATTGTCTGCCTTAAATATTATGCTCTTAATTTGTCCTTGGTAGTCGATCTTCCATCTTGTCCCTCGTTCTCCTCCTCCTTTTACTCTTCTTCCTCCTCCAAATCACCCCACGTTCCAGGAGAACTCTAGCAGCAGGACTGTCATTGTAGATTCTGCCAGTTGGTGAAGGAAAAGTTGTCAAAGAAGTTTTTGCCTTTTCTGGCATCATCCAAAATTCCAGTTCCTTAATAGCCAATGTACAAAAGTTTGCTCTATTATTTCATTTCTGGCATAAGCTTGCTCTTGAAAGGTCTCTCTCTGCCAAAATACCATTTCATTTCCATCAATGCTCTATTATTTCTTCCCAGCCTTTTAAAAACAAGCTCACAAGAATCTTTTTCTTGGCTTCTACATCCCTTGCAGTCAAGGGAAGTTTCAACTTATTCGATCATGGTAAGCAGGTCCCCCCCCCCCCTCTCTTTTTTCAACATTTAATCTTCCTTTCCAAGGGGGGTTTTGTTTGTTCTGCATCTTTTCTTCTGCATATGTGTTTTTCGTAAGAGGGGGAGCTCAAGTAGTCTACGTAGATGACCTGTTTTTCAAGCTATTTTCCGGTGTTGCTTAATCGATAAGGTATGCACTCTTCCTTTGCTCCCGATCTCTTCTTCTTAGCATTGCTTATTTTCTGGTGTTGCTTTATCGATAAGGTGCCCACGTATGTTTTGCAGGAGAATCTCGAGTTTCCTGTTTTCGTTACCTATTCTTCAGGGTGTTTTCTTCTATTGCTTTATCCATCAGATACGCAGTCTTCTTTTGCTGGAAAATTTTCTATTCAAGTTATTCCTCAAACGCTGTCATTAGCCATCAATTTCCCTACTCCAAAGTTCTTTCAGGCACAAAGCAAGGCTAGAGTTTCGCAGCTTCGATCACGCACCTTTGAGTGCTTTATCTCTTCATCTATGTATTCATGCGTGGTTTGGCCGGTGCTGCCATTGCTTATGAAATCTCAGGTTTGGTCATTGCTTTGGTCTGGGTAGCTTATGCAGTTGGTTGGTGCTAGGACAGACGGTAGCCTTCGAGGAGATTTGGGAATTTATACGGCCTGGAGATTTGGTATTTCATGATCATAATTGTTCTCACCTTGCCTCATTTTCTAGCCTCCCTTTGCATTAGGATTATCCATCTCCCATTCACCTGATGTTGATTCCTCATGAACAGAGAATTATCCTTTATTTATCATCTTACTTCCTCTGCTGCGAGGCCAGTCTAGCTGTCCCGTTGGTTTCATAATCATAAAACAGTGACTAATGCTCTTATTAAACCATTTATAAGCCACCAAATCATGTTTCCATTTCAAATAAATCTTATTTTAAATTCATTTGCTACGTGCACGCATCTCAACATTCTCTTTGATGAGATACTTCACCATGGCGGATATGATTCTCCAAAGAACTTGATTAATAGTATGCAAAAAAATGATCATGATTCTTAGGCTCTGGTGTGAGCTAAAGAATTAACAAAATATTGTTATTCCAGATGAAATTAAGCTGTACTGTAATTATTGATTGCAGGCATCAAGATTTCTTCCAAGGTTTTCAATACTCTTCGTGATCGAATCAACAACATCTTCAACTCCTTGACATGGAGGATTGAATTAGGTGCATGAGAAAAATCTTGAATATTTGGATTACCAGCAACCACTGCTATGGTTTCTGCAAAAAAAAACCATTTGATTCCCATTATCACCATGCAAGTCCCAAGCAAATATTTGCGGAGCATTTTGTAAACTCGAAGCTGCAGTATTTGGCAACAACAGTTACCCATTATTCAGAAAAACGGTATTATCCCCGGCAAGGAGAATGTGCCTGCTCTGCGTTGCGTGGAGACTCAGAAGAAACCACAGCTCCCTTGTAGCAGCATTGTAAGCCGGTCTGGAAGCTTTGGGGGAGGATCATGCGGTGGTGGGACACTGAATGGGCAATACCAGATTCAGTGGATAGTTTATTTGTAAGATGAAAATAAAAAAGCTCTTCCGATTGCCCTTCGAGGTCACAAAATGAGTTCATAGCATTTCAAATTTATGCAAAATGGAAATGCATAAATATGAATTTTCACGGATTTGTTTTATGTTTTTTTTTATTATTTCTTCAACCAATTATATATATATATATATATATATTTTAAATGCTAGACAAACATAATCACAACAAGTTTGCTATGCTATTGTTTGGTACCGTGTATTTTAAATGAAAGTGAGTAAATTTTAAATTTTATTTTTTATTTAAAATAATTTTTTAAAATAAAATAAATATTATTTTAATATATTTTTTAACTGTCATACGTGTCGTTTAAAAAACTTTAACAAGTCAAAGCAAGAGAGAATCAAGTTGCATTTCAATACTTAGTCTAGTGGTGGAAGGAGCTTATTTTTTTTTACTGTATCTGGATTCGAGTCCTGGCATGAACGACTGTCATCCTCGTGGTGCCGTGCCTTACATGTCTATTGGATTTATAAGGTATTCAGTGAGTCATGAAGATTAATCGTAGTGCGTACAAACTGGTCCAAACACCCCATATAAAAAAAAAACCAAGTTCTGCCTTTCAGTTAATGCAACGGTCGATTTCCTTTTTTTTTTTTTTTAATAATAAATCCACCCTCGCACTCTCTCTCAAAATCTCAACATTTTTCAATTTCAAAAGAAGACCTTTCTTTCTCTCTCTCCAGTAAGTAGAAGAAAAGAACTTGTACACCTTTAGCCGTTCAAATTCTATGTAATAAGGTTTGATTCTTCTTGTAATCATATGGAATTTCAATTTCTATCAAAGAGAGAGTCTTCATCAGGTACCCATCTCTCAATCTCTTGCTTTAGATATATAATTCTTCATCACCTACCCATCTCTCAATCTCCTGCTTTAAATATATAATTCTTCATCGGGTACCCATCTCTCCACTCCTGCTATAAATATATAATTTGTTCTTTTTCTCTGTGAATTTTGCTGTATTATGGTTAGTCTTTGATGGGTCTTTAATTCTTTCCATCTCCTGCTATAAATATATAATTTGTTCTTCTTCTCTGTGAATTGTGCTTTATTATGTTTAGTCTTTGCTGGGTCTTTAATTCTTCCTGATTTTTGTGATTATGTTATAGTAATTTTTATGTAAACTTTGCCATTTTTCCCAGTTTGATGTGTTTTTAATTTTATGTTAATTGTAAATTATGATTTCTTGAATTTAGTAAGTGATTGGATAATTTTCAGAGTTAAAGTTTGCATCTTTCAGATTTCAAGGTGAGTGTTTTTTTTTTTATTTACTTCTTAAAGAATTAGGATTTAGAGAAAAAGAAACCTTTTGATCGAGATTGGGTTTTATTTTGTGGTTTAAGATTTTAATTTCACTTTATATTTAATCGCTTATATATTTTTGAATTGGGTTTCTCCTATTCTTTCAAAAAAACCGAACTTGAATTTCTGTTAATTTTATATTAACGTTTCCCTCTCGCTCTTGATGCAGGTTAAAAGACCTAAGCATATCAATAAATACAGTCAATTGAACCAAAAGAGAGAGTTTAAATTTAAAACTTGATTGAAGTGGTACGATCACCTTGTTTCTTGATAGGTCTTTTTTGTTGTAATGATTGTGTTTCAATTTTTAAGCATAAATGCAAAATTGAGCTACTGTGTTTGTTAATTGTAAAAATCATGATTACTCAAAATATTTTACAATTAATTGAAAAATCTTCAAAATTTTGTTTCTGCATGTTGGCTTTCCTGTATTAAAAGATAAAGATTTTTTTTAAAATATTCAACTATCCTCCTAATTTAGCAATGAAGAATCAGATTTTTGATAATGAAAATGATTTTCTCTTTTGGATTCACTGAATGTAGTTGTAACTAGCCAATACTAGTAAAACTATCACTCATAGTCGTTGTTATCGGACAACGTTGTTGTATTATGGAATTATGTTTATATGCACTTGTCTCTTCCTTTGAATTCAGAATTTCTGCTCTAGGAATAAAGGGAATGAGAGCTCATGGAGCAACATTTCAATGTGTTATTTTGCCTATACAAACATAAAATAAGTACCAAAATAAATAGTATTTTTTAGTAAAATGGTTTCATAAATCACTTTTGCAACACCATTCCTTACTTTAAAGTTGATTGTTGCTTTGGCATGGGTCGGGGTTTTGGGGTCAGTTTCTTTTCCTTTTGCTTTTCGAATTCGCTTTAAAATCTTGCTTCTAATATTATTTGAAGAAAAACTAGCTAAGCTAAAATTATCATGCTGCTTCTTTGAATTGTGGGATTCTTATTGGATTGGAATAGACAGTTAGGCTGGGAGTGATTTTTGCCTTGCCTAATAACTAAACATTGCTTTATCACTGCTATTTATTCAAAATCAATTTTGAATTTTCTGCCCATTTTTTTGTCATGTATTTTTTAGGTCTTTTTATGGTATTTGTTTTTTATATATATACTTCTTAGCTTGGATAGTAAAATCATTGAGAAATTAACAATCATCACTTTGCCATTCTCATAAGACCTGGGATATGGTAAATTAATTTGCTGATGTGATTGAATATACATGATTTTTTAGGTGATTGAATATACGAGTGAACTTGTCAAGCCTAGCTCTTTATGTACAATTCATTGGTGTTGCGTTTTTGTTAAGAATGTTACCAGAGTCCTTACTCTTTGTATACATGTATCTATCATCTATCACAACTATAAATTATCATCCTAAAACTTGTGTGATTATTTCTGAAAGAGCTGATTGTTTACCATGTCAAAGTCCTCTACAAAGCTGTTGAGATTGAAGTTTACCTTTTCTTTCCTTGTTAATGTAAGGTGTGCTGGAACTTGTATGTTTAGATCAAATATTATAGCAAGTGATTAATCACATGGGCTGGAAGTATTGCTCATTTGATTTTTAATAGTCTTTAAAAATATGTATATAAAAAGTCTATGCCATTTATGATTTATACAAAAGCTTTATAACTAAGTTTTGACGGATATTTATCATCCAACTTTATAGCAGTTTTTCCTCTTTAAGTTCTCAAACTTGCTTGCTTGGAGTTGAAAGGTCATATGGATAACATGCTTCTAATATTGTTATTTATAGATACATGGATGGGTATGGATATAGAAAATTATTTTTGTTAACTTTTAACGCTTCTTACTTTTGAATTCTTCATGGGAATGAGAGTTGATGAATCACCTCTTCAATGTGTTATTTTTTTTATGAAAACACAAAAAATGGTATTATTATAAATAATATTTTTCTGATAAAAATAACATTTTTTTTAGTAAATTGATTTCATAAATCACTTTTGGGTTTTACCATAAATCCTAAACTAACATAACTTTTAAAAAAACCCACATCCTAAAAAACCCTAAACCCTAAAACAACTTAAACTTTAAAATATCCTTAAAACCCTAACAAACTTTGAACCATAACATATCCTAAATCCTTATATCCAAAACTATAAAAAAAACCTTAAAAAACCATAAACTTTAAAATTCTAAAAACTCCTATACCCTAAAAACCCTCAATAATAAAATACCTCAAACCCTAAAATACCAAAATATCTTAAACCTCCAAAAAATTGATGATATTTTAAACCCTAACAAACCTTGATTCATAAAATATCCCAAACCCTAAAAAAATAAATAAAAAATCCTAAATCATTAAATAACCTAAACCCTAAATATTCAAAAACCTTTAAACCCTAAACACTAAAAAATCTCAAACTCTAAAACCTTAAAAAACCATACACCCTAAAAACTTTAAACAATAAAATACCTTAAACTCTAAAATACTATAAATACTAAAAAACCATAAACCCTAAAATATCGTAAAACCTAAACAACCATAAAATACCCTAACCCTAAAAAAACCATAAATCCTAAACAACTCTAAAATATCATAAATCCTAAACTCTAAACATTAAAAATACCATAAACTCTAAATTCTAAATCTTAAACCCTAAAAATACCCTAACTCCAAAAATACTCTAAAAAACCCTAAACACTAAAAATACCCTAAACCTACTCTAAAAAACCCTAAACCCTAAAATATTATAAACTCTAAATACTAAAAATCCTAAACCCCAAACCCTAAACATTATAAACCCTAAATATTAAAAATTCAAAACTCTAAATAATAAAAATCCTAAACCTATCTATACCATAAATATTAAAAATCCTAAACCCTAAAAAGTAAAATACCCTAAACCAAACCCTAAACACTAAAAAACCCTACCCTAAAATAACCTAACCCTAAAACTTAAACAACTTTAAATTACCCTAAACTCTAAAAATTAAACAACCCTAAATTACTCAAATTACCCTAAACCCTAAACAATAAAATACTCTAAAACACTAAAAATACCCTAAACCCTAAAACATAAAAATAAACATTAAAAATTCTAAATCTACCCTAAAAAAACCCTAAACTCATAAACTCTAAATATTAAAAATCATAAACGTTAAATCCTAAATCTACCCTAAAAAACCCTAAACCCTAAATACTAAAAATTCAAAATCCTAAACAATAACCCTAAATATTAAAAATCATAAACCTATCTATACCCTAAATACTAAAAATCCTAAACCCTAAAAAATAAAATACCCTAAAAACCCTAAACAATAAAATACTCTAAAACCCCAAAATACCCTAAACCCCAAAATACAAAAATAAAAACTAAAAATTCTAAACCCTAAATACTAAAAATCTTAAATTTTGAACACTAAAATATCCTAAATCCTAAAAAACCCTAAACCCTAAACATTAAAAAACCCTACAAAACCCTACCTTAAAATACCCTAACCCTAAACCCTAAAACTTAAATGGCCCTAAACCCTATACAATAAAATACCCTAAAACCTAAAACACAAAAATAAATACTAAAAATCTTAAACCTCTAAAAAACCCTAAACCCTAAATACTAAAAATCCTAAACCCTAAATCTACCCTAAAAAAATCCTAAACACTAAAAAACCCTAAACACTAAACACTAAAAATCTTAAACTTATCTATACCTTAAATACTAAAAATCCTAAACCCTAAAACATAAAATAACTTAAACACTAAAAAACCCTACCCTAAAATACCCTAACTCTAAATCCTAAAAAACCCCAAATCCTAAACAATAAATTACTCTAAAACCCCAAAATACCCTAAACCCTTAAACCTAAAAATACCCTAAAATATCATAAAAGACCTTAAACTCTAAAAATACCCTAAAACCTAAAGAACCTTAAACTTTAAAATACCTCTAACCTTAAAAACCTTAAATCCTAAAATATCACAAATTTCAAACCCTAAAATACCCTAAACCTCATACCCTTTAAAAAAATCCTAACTTAATTTCTATCAAAGAGAGAGTCTTCATCAGGTACCCATCTCTCAATCTCTTGCTTTAGATATATAATTCTTCATCACCTACCCATCTCTCAATCTCCTGCTTTAAATATATAATTCTTCATCGGGTACCCATCTCTCCACTCCTGCTATAAATATATAATTTGTTCTTTTTCTCTGTGAATTTTGCTGTATTATGGTTAGTCTTTGATGGGTCTTTAATTCTTTCCATCTCCTGCTATAAATATATAATTTGTTCTTCTTCTCTGTGAATTGTGCTTTATTATGTTTAGTCTTTGCTGGGTCTTTAATTCTTCCTGATTTTTGTGATTATGTTATAGTAATTTTTATGTAAACTTTGCCATTTTTCCCAGTTTGATGTGTTTTTAATTTTATGTTAATTGTAAATTATGATTTCTTGAATTTAGTAAGTGATTGGATAATTTTCAGAGTTAAAGTTTGCATCTTTCAGATTTCAAGTTGAGTGTTTTTTTTTTATTTACTTCTTAAAGAATTAGGATTTAGAGAACAAGAAACCTTTTGATCGAGATTGGGTTTTATTTTGTGGTTTAAGATTTTAATTTCACTTCATATTTAATCGCTTATATATTTTTGAATTTGGTTCTCCTATTCTTTCAAAAAAACCGAACTTGAATTTCTGTTAATTTTATATTAACGTTTCCCTGTTAACGTTTCCCTCTCGTTCTTGATGCAGGTTAAAAGACCTAAGCATATCAATAAATACAGTCAATTGAACCAAAAGAGAGAGTTCAAATTTAAAACTTGATTGAAGTGGTACGATCACCTTGTTTCTTGATAGGTCTTTTTTGTTGTAATGATTGTGTTTCAATTTTTAAGCATAAATGCTAAATTGAGCTACTGTGTTTGATAATTGTAAAAATCATGATTGCTCGGAATATTTTACAATTAATTGCAAAATCTTCAAAATTTTGTTCCTGCATGTTGGCTTTCCTGTATTAAAAGATAATTTTTTTAAAAAAATATTCAATTGTCCTCCTATTTTAGCAATGAAGAATCAGATTTTTGATAATAAAAATGATTTTTCTCTTTTGAATTCACTGAATGCAGTTGTAACTAGCCAATACTAATAAAACTATCACTCATAGTTGTTATTGGACCAACATTCTTGTATTATGAAATTAAGGAATTATGTTTGTATGCATTTGTCTCTTTCTTTGAATTCAGAATTTTTGCTCTGGGAATAAAGGAAATGAAAGCTGATGGAGCAACATTTCAATGTGTTATTTTGCCGATGCAAACATAAACAAGATACCAAAATAAATAGCAGTTTTTAGTAAAATAGTTTCATAAATCACTCCTGCAACACCATTCCTTACTTTAAAGTTGATTGTTGCTTTGGCATGGGTCGGGGTTTTGGGGTCAGTTTCTTTTCCTTTTGCTTTTCGAATTCGCTTTAAAATCTTGCTTCTAATATTATTTGAAGAAAAACTAGCTAAGCTAAAATTATCATGCTGCTTCTTTGAATTGTGGGATTCTTATTGGATTGGAATAGGCAGTTAGGTTGGGAGTGATTTCTGCCTTGCCTAATAACTAAACATTGCTTTATCACTGCTATTTATTCAAAATCAATTTTGAATCTTCTGCCCATTTTTTTTTCATGTATTTTTTAGGTTCTTTTCATGTATTTGTTTTATATATAAATACTACTTTGCTTGGATAGTAAAATCATTGAGAAATTAACAATCATCACTTTGCCATTCTCGTAGGGCTTGGGATATGGTTAATTAATTTGCTGATATGATTGAATATACATGATTTTTTAGGTTATTGAATATACTGGTGAACTTGTCAAGCCCAGTTCTTTATATGCAATTCATTGGTGTTGTGTTTTTGTTAAGAATGTTGCCACTGTCCTTACTCTTTGTATACATGTATTTATCATCTATCACAACTACAAATTATCATCCTAAAACTTGTATGATTATTTCTGATTATTTCTGAAAGAGCTGATTGCTTATTGTGTCAAAGTCCTTTACAAAGCTGTTGAGATCGAAGTTTACCTTTTCTTTCCTTGTTAATGTAAGGTGTGCTGATACTTGTATGTTTAGATTAAATTTTATAGCAAGTGATTAATTACACGGGCTAGAAGTATTGCTCATCTGATTAATCATAAGGGCTGGAAGTATTGCTCATCTGATTTTTAATAGTCTTTAAAAATATGTATATAAAAAGTCTATGCCATTTATGATTTATAGAAAAGTTTTATGACTAAGTTTTGACAGATATTTATCATCCAACTTTATAGCATTTTTTTCTTTTTAAGTTCTCAAACTTGCTTGCTTGGAGTTGAAAGGTCATATGAATAACATGCTTCTAATATTGTTATTTATAGATACATGGATGGGTATGGATATAGAGAATTATGTTTGTTGGCTTTTTATCACTTCTTATTTCTGAATTCTTGCCTTAAGAATCATGAGAATGAGAGTTTATGGATCATCTCTTATCTCTTCAATGTGTTATTTTTTTAGATCATCTCTTCAATGTGTTATTTTTCTATGCAAACATAAAAAATGGTATTATTATAAATAATATTTTTCTGGTAAAAATAACATTTTTTTTAGTAAATTGATTTTATAAATCACTTTTGGGTTTTACCATAAATCCTAAACTAACATAACCTCCAAAAAAACCAACATCCTAAAAAACCCTAAACTCTAAAACAACTTAAACCCTAAAATATCTTTAAAACACTAAAATACCTTAACAGACCTTGAACCATAACATATCCTAAATCCTTATATCCAAAACCTTAAAAAACCATAACCTCTAAAATCCTAAAAACTCCTACATTCTAAAAACCCTCAATAATAAAATACCTTAAACTCTAAAATACTAAAATATCTTAAACCTTCAAAAAATTAATGATATTTTAAACCCTAACAAATCTTGAATCATAAAATATCCTAAATCCTAAAAAAATAAATAAAAAAATTCTAAACCATTAAATAACCTAAACCTAAATATTCAAAACCTTTAAACTCTAAACACTAAAAAATCTCAAACCCTAAAAAATCATACACCCTAAAAACTCTAAACAGTAAAATACCTTAAACCCTCAAACACTATAAACATTAAAAAGCCATAAACCCTAAAATATCGTAAACCCTAAACAACCCTAAAATACCCTAACCCTAAAAAAATCATAAACCTTAAACAACCCTAAAATATCATAAACCCTAAATATTAAAAACTCTAAACTCTAAAATACCCTAACTTTAAACTCTAAAAAACCCTAACCCCTAAACATTAAAAATACTATAACCTTAAAAATACTCTAAAAATATCCTAAAAACTCCTAAACCCTAAACCCTAAGTACTAAAAATCCTAAACCTTAAACCCTAAAAATAGCCTAACCCTAAAAATACTCTAAAAAACCTTAAACACTAAAAATACCCTAAACTTACTCTAAAAAACCCTAAACCTTAAAATATTATAAACCCTAAATACTAAAAATCCTAAACCCTAAAAAACCCCAAACCCCAAACATTATAAATCCTAAACCTTAAATAATAAAAATCCTAAACCTATTTATACCATAATCCTAAACTCTAAAAAATAAAATATCCTAAATCAAACCCTAAACACTAAAAAACCCTACCCTAAAACTTAAACAACCCTAAATTACCCTAAACAATAAAATACTCTAAAACTCCAAAATACTATAAACTCTAAAAATACCCTAAACCCTAAAACATAAAAATAAACATTAAAAATCCTAAATCTACCATAAAAAAACTGTAAACTCCTAAAACCTAAATGCTAAAAATTCAAAATCCTAAACAATAACCCTAAATATTAAAAATCAAAAACATAAATACTAAAAATCTTAAACCCTAAACACTAAAAAACCCTATCCTAAAACACCATAATCTTAAACCCTAAAACTTAAACAACCTTAAATTACCCTAAACCCTAAACAATAAAATACTCTAAAACCCAAAAATACCCTAAACCCTAAAATACAAAAATAAAAACTAAAAATCCTAAATCATGAACACTAAAATATCCTAAATCTTAAACCCTAAACACTACAAAACCCTACGCTAAAATACCTTAATGCTAAATCTTAAAACTTAAATGACCCTAAATTACCCTAAACCCTAAATAATTAAATACTCTAAAACCCCCAAAATAACCTAAACCCTAAAACATAAAAATAAACACTAAAAATATTAAACCCTTAAAAAATCCTAAACCCTAAATCTACCCTAAAAAAATCCTAAACCCTAAACACTAAAAAGCCAAACCCTAAATACTAAAAATCCAAAACTCTAAACACTAAAAAACCCTACCCTAAAATACTCTAACCCTAAACCCTAAAAAACCTTAAATTCTAAACAATAAAATACTCTAAAACCCCAAAATACCATAAACTTATCCTTACCCTAAATACTAAAAATCCTAAACATTAAAAAACCCTATCCTAAAACACCCTAATCTTAAACCCTAAAACTTAAACAACCTTAAATTACCCTAAATCCTAAACAATAAAATACTCTAAAACCCTAAAATACCCTAAACCCTAAAATATAAAAATAAAAACTAAAAATTCTAAACCCTAAATACTAAAAATCCTAAATCCTGAACACTAAAATATCCTAAATTCTAAAAAACTCTAAACCCTAAACACTACAGAACCCTACACTAAAATACCCTAACCCTAAACCCTAAAAAACCCTAATGATCCTAAATTATCTTAAACCTTAAACAATAAAATACTCTAAAACCCCAAAATATCCTAAACCCTAAAACACAAAAATAAAAACTAAAAATATTAAACCCTTAAAAAATCCTAAACCCTAAATCTACCCTAAAAAAACCCTAAACCCTAAATACGAAAAATCATAAACCTATCTATACCCTAAACCCTAAAAAAACCTACCCTAAAATACTCTAACCCTAAACCCTAAAAAACCTTAAATTCTAAACAATAAAATACTCTAAAACCCCAAAATACCATAAACCTATCTATACCCTAAATACTAAAAATCCTAAACCCTTAAAATATCCTAAATCCTAAAACACAAAAATAAACACTAAAAATCCTAAACCTACCCTAAAAAGCCCTAAACCCTAAATACTAAAAATCCAAAATTCTAAACACGAAAAATCCTAAACCTATCTATACCCTAAACCCTAAACACTAAAAAACCCTACCCTAAAATACTCTAACCCTAAAAAACATTAAATTCTAAACAATAAAATACTCTAAAACCTCAAAATACCATAAACCTATCTATACCCTAAATACTAAAAATCCTAAATCCTAAATCTTAAAACACAAAATTAAACACTAAAAATCCTAAACCTACCCTAAAAAGCCCTAAACCCTTAAACCTAAAAATACCCTAAACCCTAAAAGTACCCTATAAAATCATAAAAAAACTCTAAATTCTAAAAATACCCTAAAACCTAAAGAACCTTAAACTTTAAAATACCTCTAACCTGAAAAACCTTAAATCCTAAAATACCATAAATTTCAAACCCTAAAATACCCTAAACCTTATACCTTTAAAAAAACCCTAATTCCTAAAATATCTTAAACTAGACATAAAAAATTCTATATTAGTGCTATTATAATATGCCTGACAAAATTTTAAAGTCTTAAAAAAAATTAATAGTTTCTTGTTGTTGTTTTTTTAAGTAGAAATAATATATCACAAAAGGATTAATTTTTTCTTGTAGTTATATGTTTTATTTTCTTAATTAAGTATACTTTATTGATGAAGTAATTAAAATTTATAAAGTCTTGAAGGAAAAATAATTAATGGCTTCTTGTTATTGTTTTTTTTAAGTAGAAATGATATATGATAAAATTAGGTTTTCTAAGTGAGATCGAGAACCAACATCCATAAGAAATAAAATATATAACCCTTGAATTATTTCTTTAAATATGCTTTACTGCGATGATTATTATTAGCTTACTTTGTCATTTTGCTCTTTTATTTATCTCAATTATTAAAATATGTTTCCTCATTAAAAATTTATTTAACAAAATTTTATAT